CCAGAGCAGAGTAGAGGGGCAGAATCACCTCCCTCGACCTGCTGGCCACGCTTCTCTTGATGCAGCCCAGGGTATGGTTGGCCTTCTGGGCTGCCAGCACACATGCCGGCTCATCCACCAGCACCCCCAAGTCCCTCTCGGCAGGGCTGCTCTTGATCCTTTCTTCCCTCAGCCTGTATTGGTAATGGGGGGTTACCCCGACCCAGGTGCAGAACCTTGCACTTGGCCTTGTTGAACCTCATGAGAACATAGATAGAACCTCACAGAACAGCAGATATGTTTTATGAGGTCTCCAGGTTGCTAACTTCAGTAATGGTTTGATACAGAACAAATAGGAAGGGCGGTGCTTGTGAAGAGAACTTGCATTGCAAGTTAGGTGGATGTGAATCTTGGAGCTTCATGTTTTGTTTGTTCCAATTCTTTCTGACAGCTGTCAGCTCTGCCTACTAACTTTTCTTTTGGGTACTGCAAAAACAACTAAGTATTCTCTGATTTGTGCCTCTTGTAATGACCTTGTGTCAGGGAGGGCTTTTCCTATTGAAGTTCTTGCTTTCACTGTTGTCATTAACCATTTATTACTTTCCTGAGCTAGATATAGCATGCTATTTTAGACCAATGTAAGTGATTTCAAACTGTCTTGGCTTAATGCAATCTTTCTCGTTCTTTTTAGTTGATAGGGAACTCTACCAATGTTTTCAAGCATAGGTAATAATACCAAGGTTGTTTATTTATGCTAGATATGAGCAAACCTTATTTGCTGTTTAAATATGTGCTTAAAGAACTAGAGCTGTTTGGGAAGTCCAGAGGTGAGGCTCTCAGTTGATAAGATTAAGCATCTTGTCTTGACCTTGTTTAAAAGAGTGCATTTGTATTAGGTAAAAAAAAAACAACATGAGGGGAAAAAGGTGTCTGTATTTATTTTTTTCAGAAAAGGCTGCATGGGCCTTATTTCTGTTCTTCATGAAAGCTGAACTTTCTTTACAAGCTGACTGTTTTGAATTTTCAATTCTCAAGGAACTTTTTTCTTTCCTGTTTCATAAGCCATTGGTACTTAAAAATAACACCCCCCCCCCCAAGCAAAAAATGGAACTAAAAGTCTTGCTAAAATGACATTCACTTAGTATGTACAGGATTTGGGGGTGGATGCCTCTGGAATGGATTAAAATCAGGATTTCACATCCCATATACAGCAGAAAAATATAAGTGAATGCAATATGATGAGGAAATAAGGAGATCTAACAGCTGTTTTTCAGGGATATGGTGATGCAATGCTAGACTCTAATTCCTGTGAATTGGAAGCAAAGATTCAGTATAGTCTTCTTAATCTATCACATACTGCTTCAAAATCAGTACATTTAGAGTAGTAAATGATACAGTGATGAATTAAACACTAGCATTTGGTACTTCTAGACTCCCTCTAAGACCAGTTAACTTGTAAATCTATATAGGTGTGAATTGCATGAATAGTTCACATAGCAGGCAAATTATAATTGTGGAAGTTGCTATACTTTTACCCATCTTAATAGGTTGGTTGGCAAGTAACAGCGCAGTCTACAGTTGATTTAGTGTAAGTGCTAAGCATAGCAGGCTTGACTAAAAAACAAGTTATTGGTTCTATCCTGTTGCTGTCTATAAATCTGTGGTTTTGTCTAGCATCTTTCATTAGTGGAGGCAGTCAACACAGAAGGCAGCATGGTGAAAGAACTTACTAAAACAGATGCTGTACTAATAGAGCATTTTGTTGGCACATGATGTGCTTTCCAGAAATTTTGAATGTTGAATTAACTTAGTGTGCTCAAGGTGTGGAAGCCTCAGTGGAAGAGGAGAGGTGGAATAAGAATGGGTTAGGATGGCAAATAAAGGGAGGAGAGTCCTCACCCCTTTAAAGGCAAATAGACTTGGTCAATGGAAGCCATTCTATTATGGTAAACCATAAAAGTGTTAGTTTAAATAATTGGTAAGGTGTTTTTATTTGTTGCTTGTTACATGTTGCATATAAACACAAATGCCAGAATCTTTTATATTGGCTTTGCCACAAACTGCTCACTTAAGTCTTCCAAGTAAGCAGGAACTCTGAACATTGTTCAGACTATCAAAGCATCAGTTTTAACACTTTGTTTAGTGTTGTACGAGCAAAGTTTCCCAATTGAGTGACTTGGTAATGTACCAAATATTGTCAGTCTTCTTTTTTTCCTTTATGACATGATCTTGTACACAGGTGATCTATTTAACCAATGTTTGTCTTGTTGCTGAATGTATTATGCCTGTGTTTTTTTCAGAGGCAGCTATATTATTATGTTAAGCAGTTTTAACTTGGAAGGGGAACAGTAACAATCAGTGTCAGTGATGTGCCATATACATGTACATCATGGAATTTTGTAGACTTTCTGTTTTGATTTCAGATTTCATATCTTTATGATGGATGCTGATGAGCCCTTATCATGACTTTGATACTGCAGAATAGGGAATTTCATTTCTATAGAATCAGTCAGGTTGGAAGAAAACTTTGAAGGTTGGCTGGTCAAAATCCTTGTGTAGAGTAGGGTCAATTACAGTGAGTTGCTCAGGACCTTGTCCAGCTGAGTTTTTAATATCTCCAGGGATGGAGACTGTCCAGGCTCTGTGGGCAATTTACCTAGTGTTTAACCACTGTCAGAGTACAAAGATTTTCCTTACGTTAAAATGGAATTTCCCATACTTCCGTTTGTGCCCATTGCCTCTTGTCCTCTCTCTGAATATCCGTGAAAAGAATCTGTCTTGTCTTTGCTCACTTCTCTTAAGATCCTTTGAGCTTTCTTGTCTCCAGGCACAGCAGTTCCAGCTCTCAGCCACTCTGTGTATGGCCAGTCTCTTCATTATCTTTGTGGTCCTTTGCTAAACTCATTTCAGCATGTCTGTGTCTGTTTTGCACTGGACAGCCTAGAACTGGATGCAGCACTCTAGATACGGTGTTATCAGTGGGGGAGGACCACTTGCCCTCACCTCCTGGCAACATTCTTCCTAATGTAGCCCAGAAGGCTGTTGGCCTTTACTGCAAGGGAAATTTGCTGACTTCTGTTCAAGTTGCTGTCCACCACAGCCTTTGTTTTTTTTTCTGCAAAGATGCTTTCCAGCTGGTTGGCCTAGTGTATACTGGTGCATGGAATTACTCCTCCCCAAGTGCAGGATTTTGCATTTCTCTTTGAGGTTCTTGCCTGCCCATGTCTCTAGTAATGTTTTGAGTTTCCTCTGAGGGAAACACAGCCCTGTGTTATGTCCCAGTTTTGTATGTCTGCAAACTTGCTGAGGGTGCATTCTGTCCCATCATCCAGCCCCTGAATGAAGATGATAAACTGTGTTGGCCCCAGTAGCAATCAGTCACTGGGGTGCTCTACTAGTGATTGGCCTCCAGGTGATAAACTGTGTTGGCCCCAGTAGCAATCACTGGGGTGCTCTACTAGTGATTGGCCTCCAGCTGGAGTTTGTGCTGTTGATCACAACCCTTGGAGACCAGTGGTTCAGCCTACTTTCAGTCTTCCTCACTGTCCAGTTACGTAGGCTTTACTTCAATGGTTTATATGTGAGGATGTTACAGGAGACAGTGTCAAAAGCGTTATTTTCTTGTTTTCCTTTTCCAGGTGCCATTGAAAGACCTAGCAGAAGTCAGCATATGCAGGATCATTTTGGAGGATATTCTAGGGGTAAAGGTAGGATTGCATGGTTAAAAATTATAGTTTTGGGGGTGATTAAGCCTTCCTTTTGGACAAAACATTTAGAATGGAGAATCTTGCAACCGGTGTCAGAGTAGATTCTGGAAACTCAAATTTTACTGTATTGGTAGCAGTACTATTGTTGAGTGGTTCTATTCCTTATGGAAAACAGTAGTTACACCTATCCTAAGCTTTGTAATTTTAATTAATTTTCTTTGTTTTATAAAAGGACGCCTTGGTCATGTGGTGTGTTTTTGTTAAGTGGGACACAGGCTGCAGACCTGAGGTCTGTTTCAGCCTGATGATTCTGTAATTCTATGGTTAATTTTTTTTTTAAAAAAAAAAAACCAAACCAAACTGAAACAACCATGAGAAACACCCAAACCCAGAAGCCTACCCTGAAGTCAAAGATGGCTTTGAATGTTGATTATTTTTCTAATTATAGGTACTGATGAATATCTGAGCAGACAGTGTCACCCAGTGAATAGATTTGGTAGCAGAAGGAATTTTGCAGACAGAGGTAACTTTCTGGAGCATCTGTAATTCTAGTGGCTAGTCATATGTTAAATTTTCCTTATTCAGGTACTCGGTTTTGTTGTATCAGAGTCAAATGAGTATTTATGACTTGGATGGTAATACCAATCCTTATTTCTGCATAATGTAAGCACTCAATATCACCCCTTAGCTTTAACTGCATAACATAAAATACCCCACCATGTTTGCCAGAAGGCAGGACCCTACATTTAAAATCAATTTTTTGTTTACCACTTGCTTTGATTCCATTCTCCCTGGAGAGGGGTATTATTCTCATAATTCCATTGAGTCATAAAAGGCAGCTGAATATCAGTATTCACATACATGCCATGTGAGGGTGTATACCAGTGCTCTTCTGTGGAAGACCCAAAAGCTTGCTTTCTTTAGTATCCATAAAGCATGATTTATTCCCTGTCCTCTTCCTGCTTATAATGGCGAGAGCCGTTCTTGTGTGCAGTGCGTATTGAAGAGGTTAGTAATTGGCAGTTTGGCAGTACTGCCACATATGCTTCTGTCAGGTGCTATTGGAAGTTCATAGGGCAGTGGAAGCTGCTATCATGTAGCATCTGTCTAGATAGTTATAGGGCTGTAAGTTGGACTGGTTATGAAACATGGGAAGGTGGAAACTAGTCCTGGTTTGGGCATGTTTAGCAAAAGTTCTGCAGAACAGCTGTGGAGCCACTTAAAGTCATTAATTCTTTCAAAAAATTCGACACCATTTCTGCATCTCTTGGATTGATGCCCATTATGGTAGAGGAACACTAGACTTGTTTTACTAGCAGGCAGCAACACTGGTGGTGCTGTGGAGTGATGACAGACAGTTCTGCTGTAGACTCTGCCAGCTGCGAAGTAACTCACAAGCTGTATTTAAGGTCTGTAGTATTTATGGATATTTATATCTAGCCTGCCTTTTGCATTTGAGCCTTTAAGATGTGATTTCTTTAAAAAATTTTTTTTTTAATTTGGAAAAACTCAAATGACACATAAATTGATATGCACCAAGCATTGGTGGAGGAGGAGCTACAGGTGCTGTGATAGGAGAACTTGGTCTCATTTAGTACAACATGGTCTTTGTCATTACTAGATGGTAGAACAAGTGTTTAGTTGAAGAATAAAGACTAAGGAGTAAATGATGATACAAGCTGACTGTTCGGATCTTAGACAACACTTAAAACTCTGCAGTCAAAAATGAGAAATACCTTTTTTATGGATATGGCTCTTTACTTCCTCTTCTGACCCATCACAAAGGTGACTAAGGAAAGGGCTTAGAAATAAAAACACACTAAATAGCTGACACTGCCTGTCCCAAGCAACTGAATAAGCAGTTCTGAGTAATAAAAAAATAGAAATTGATAGATCTTAAAGGCAGGTTTTCAAATCCTGGCTCCATAGGAGGCAGCAATTGCAATTCTACTTCACTCTACAAGAACTGGTTATGAAAACTGAGAAGGTACAAATGCGTCAATTGTTCTGTGACTGAACCAGAGGGCTGAACTTATCTGCATCATAACCGAAGAGTTGAAAATTAGTAGCTTATATAGCATAAATGTGTGTAAAGTCAAATACTTCAAGACTTATCTTTTGATTTACTTCTTGCAGGAAGCAATGCTACAGGAGAGCAGTAGACTCTTCTTGTCATGCTTTTTGGGCAAAAAATACTTTCTCATTTTTTCATGTTCAGGCAAATCACGTAGATAAAAAGTACAATAAAGCTGAATTCATGAAATAAGGTCTGTGAAGAATAATTGCTAAATAAAAGGCACTTGATCTGCACATGCAAAATAAGTTGTTGTGTGCTATGCTGTATTGCAGGTTTGCAAGAAAGGAATGCC